TTGTTACTCCGGTTCTTAATATAAGACCCATTTTACTAATTTGATTAAATTAGGAAGTTAAGTAAGTTAGTTAATTATAAAAAAGTGATGCATTTTTCCCAAAACACTATAATCATCTTTCTTAATACCCCCTCTTTCTCTTCTATTTGATTATGGTTAAGAAAGTATCCATAGGGTAATTTAAAGAAAATTAATAAATATGAGAAATGGGTCTTATATTTAGGACCAAAACCAACTCAAGAATTAGGTCCTATATTAAATACCGGAGGAGTAATAGTTATCTTATTTTTTATTTTCTGAGGGCTCATAGTAACTTTCTCAAAAAGTTTCAACATGCGATAAGTCTGCTTATTTGTTGATGAGCCTTTTCAATAATTACAATTTTTTAAGACTTTATAATAATTTTCTATGATAATAAGAATACCATAAAAACATGGGATCTGTTGTGATGTTTGGCTGCTTGTGCTTCTTTGCTCCTGAACCATCCTGGCGCTTGTAGAATATTTTTCCCTCTAAAAGGACGCTATTATGTAAGAGTGAGCCGTGGAATTAGCCTCGCACCTCAAAAGCGTGCACATTACAAAAATGTTTATAGATAAAATAATAAGAAAAAATCTTTAAAAAATACTTTTAAAATTTTAAAATCTGAAATCAAGAAATGACTACAAAAAATTTTTGTTACATTTTTCTTACTTGGTTTTCAAATGTCATTAATTATTATTAAAATATAGTAAATAAGACTGATTTAAAATTTTAAAATTTAAAAATATTTTTTTAGTATTCTCCCAAACAATAATCTATCGACCAAATTCTCAATTTGACAGCGAAATTTGAATCACATTTTAAGGTTTTCACCTTAAGAATATGATTCAAACATGCTTACTTATCAGTTGAACCAAATGCTTATCACAAAGAAACAAACTTTACTTCCATTTTAGTTCTGCTCCCAAATTAATGAATAATAGTCTAATACGAGCGTGTAATACGCAAGAATATACTGAACGCACACAGCATTTTTTTTTAAGAAAAAAAATTATATGCCCATACTTATCGTGCTTTATTTTCTGTGCTTGTTTATGTTGGCTTAAATAAATACTTATAAGTAAGTTTCATGTAAATCGAGACAGAACTTTTCTCACATACTTAACTTGTATTGTGTAAATCATAATTAGAAAAAATTATTTATAAGCTATTCTAAACCAATAGCTAAGTCAAGTGTAATTTTTTATATTATTAGGGAATAAAGAATATTAGATGGGAAAACTTCCTAAAATAGTACGTTTTTTTAAACTATTTTTTGAAAATTTTTCTTCATAGTAATCCTTCTTACCTATTTTTCTTCTCATCCAAACATGGTAAGAATTATTCTTCCTTGAGATATAAAGAGCAGAAAACAGACCCCTAGTTAGTTAAGTTGAATACCCAAGTACTACCTTCGATCCTGATTATAAAAGCTAATTGAGTAATTTGAGAAGATTGAGGAAAGAAATTAAGTTAGTTATTTGTCATAGATAGGTGTTGTCTTTCCTAAAATGTCATTGCTAATCAAGTGTATTAGTTAGAACTACCATTGTGAGAAGGACCATCTTTAAAAAAATGCATAAATATTAGAAACAAAGTGAATTAGGATTTTATATTTAGGACTAAAATAAAAGTCAAATAAAATCATATATTAAGGACAGCAGTATTTGTTTAATCATAAAAAACTCCTGTTATTACTTGTAACATTCCAAACCAAAAAAAAAAAAACAGTAAATTGTTTTTCTTAAGTGCTTTAAATTCCACACAAGCTAGCATCCAAAAACTGCATCAAACAAAGCCAGCTAGTGATCCCCTGGTTTCTTTCCATTTCCCGTTTCGTCAATCAATTCATGGATTCTCACGAACCTCCTCCATTTATTGTCTCTCTTTGGTGGCAGAATTAGTGTATTACAGGTGGTCCTCCCATCTTTCATTTCCCAACCTTTTTGTGGGCTAATTCACTATCATGACTTTTTTTAACACTACACTGTCTCATAATTAATGGGGTGCTTTTTCAATTTTGAGGAAAAAATCAAGTGCTCGAACTTGATATGAATTATGTTAAAACATTAATTTTTTTTAAAAAAAATCTAGGATCCACGTGGCCAAAACAGAGTTATTGATGCTTAATTTAAGAATATATATGACTGCATACATTTTGAAAATAAAAAGTCTTAATGAGAACAGAATCTTGTTTTGTGGTTAAGATGCAAAGTTTCTGCCTTTTCTGTTCCCTGCCTAATAGACAGTAACATCTCTATCATAGAAATTAAATAATTCCTTTATTGTATTTTTAATTTTATTAAAATGTGAATTATACCGTGAATTTATTAAGTTCAAAATAAAAATTAACAGATTATTAATTATTATCTTATTATAGGCGGCCTAACAACACTTTTACATAAATTAATACAATTAGTGAAAATTAGATTTTGTTTTTCTTGTAAATATTAAAATGGCTCTCGATCAACGTTATTAATTAGAGGGAGTTTTATAGTTAGTTAGAAATATTAGGACAGAAAAATTTAATACTTTAAATAAAACATGTTATATTATAAAACATGGTGAATGCTCTTAAAATAAAAATCAAAGAGTATGTGTGATACACTACCTCCGATCCTAATTATAAAATCTCGCTTCTAGTATATCACATGCAGCAATCTCACACAAACTTGCATACATGATTGTATGATGCTTTGAACAAAATTGAACATATTCATAAACAATTAATTGGACTTTAAAAAAGAACATGTTTTGTCTCATATAAAAACAATAATGCTCCCATAAATATGTAGAACAAGATTTGCAGGACGTCTCTTAAGTGATCATAGGGACACGTTTATATACAAGTATAAGGAAATTAGGTAGGTAACCCAGACAAGATTAATTTGAGGGGGTTGGTCCATCATGTGCCACATTGAAAACAACATTAAAAATTTAAAATTTTAGAGATCCAATTTGGATTTTCTCCTTATAAACCATGTGACGTGAAAATGGGGGAAAATATAAATGGTGTGTTGATGATGGGTAAGTAGACACAAAATCAAACACATACTTCCTCTGGTTCTTAATATAAGACCATGTTTGATTTTTTTTATTCCTAAATATAAGACCCCAATCCACTCTGTCTCTCATATTTATATATACTCCTCCGGTCCTTAATATAGGACCCAATTCTTGTGTTGGTTTTGGTCCTAAATATAAGACCCCTTTTTCATATTTATTAGTTTTCTCTAAATTACCTCTATGGATACTCCCTCAACCATAATCAAGTAGAAGAAGGAGAGGGGGTATTAAAAAAGATGATTATGGTGTTTTACGAAAAATATGTCACTTTTCTTATAATTAACTAACTTACCTAACTTAATTAATCTAATCAAATTAGTTAAATAGGTCTTATATTAAGGACCGGAGGAGTATATTTTTTTCAAAATAATTCTTCTAACAATGATAGTTCTAATCAATATACTTGATTAGCAGTGATATTTTAGAAAAGACAACACCTATTTAGGACAAATAACTAATTCAACTTATTTCTTTAATCTCGTCAAATTAGTTAATTGGCTCTTATAATTAGAACCCAAGGTAGTACTTTGGATTCAGGATTTTGTAAAGCCAAAAGCTCTCGCTGCTTTTAATTATGTTGATGCATATGCATGCAGTTTTTAAATTATGAATTATTTAACAACAAATCTATATATATATATATATATATATATATCTTTGTGTCTGTGCGCGTAACTTACCAGCAGTTTGGTTCCGTCGAGGATAACAATGCACATCCTCCAATACTAAATATTATAAGGTTACAAACAACTACTTCGATTTCTCACATAAGCAGCAACTAACCTTACTATTCATGAAAATTGAAAGGTTAGAGTTATATATATAAATATATATATATATATTTATATAGTAGCTTTTTTCTTAACACACCGTTATTTATTTACGAGGGGGGTTGGTAAGAGGGAATGAGCATGTGAAATTAGAAAAAGAGATGAGAAAAACATATAATTAATTAAAGATAAATATGAAAAAGTGCATCAAATTTCTAGAAAAAGACGAAATGAAATTAGTCTCTAAATTTTAGAAAATAAAATTATATATGTCGTAAAGTCTAAGGATCAAAATTTTAATTAGTTAAAACTATATGGATTGAATTTTAGTGGATTAAGATTTAAGAATTGAGGTTCAATTAAGTCAAAATTATAAGGATTGAATTGGATTAAATCAAAATTTAAAATTTAAATTACAATTAATTCAAAGCCATACAAACTAAAAAAATTAATTTTCTCGTTTATAAATTTCACTAGATGCAAATTTGTTATAACTAGGTCTGGAACAATGAGCAAGAGATATTTTCCTGTATCAATCAATGGGAGTCAACAGGAGGGAATTGCTTGGCCAAAAAAAAACATGAGGGAATTGAGGGTGAGAAGAAATTTTTTTAATGAGTTTAATTTAAAATTGAAAAGGTGAGACTTTTAACTAATTTTTCTTAATATTTTATCTTACCCTTTTTAATCAAAATTTTATAGCTTCACTTTCCCAATTTTTTATATTAAGCTAATTAAAATTCTGTCCCACTTTTTGTTTTTTAATTTCTTTTATACTAGGCATGGGATACACTCCCGTGGGACTTTGAACTATCCAGGGCTTGGAAAAGCCCGTGCTAACGGAAATGACCCTGTTTTCTGGTTCTTAACGGGCCTCGGGGATAGATTACGGACTCCATTTCCTTCAATGTGCTAACGAACCAGTTGAACCCAGAACCTGTAACATCTTACTAAATTTAAATCGAGTTAAGGATTAAGAAAGAATGCGAGGGATTTTGACACGTTGTAGAGAGAAAGAAGTCTCGGGTTTCCACCAAATCCACGGCCGATTACCGCGTGGAATCGCCATTCTTCCAGATCATTCCCCTTCCCTCCCTCCATTCCTCTCGAACTTTCCCTCCTTCCTCCTTTTATATGTTCCCAGATTTTTTCGCGTACCGAACAGTTGATTTCCTCTCTCTACATTCTTCTTTCAAGCACCTTCTCGTTTTATTCCTGCGCTTTTGATCACTTTTCCTCCGCTCTCTACTCCCAGATTTTTAGGTAGGTTTCTTGGAAACCCGCTCTTCATTTTGTTCTGTCCCAGTTTTAAGTTGTGTGTCAAAAGAGAGGTTTCTCGCTTCTATGTGTGATGTTTGTTACCCACTACGCGTTTTTTCTTCACTATGTTGACTGGAAAATTTTCACCTCATTTTCTCCCCGTTTTTTGAGGGTGAATTTTGTTAGCATATTATTGTGAATGCCCTTTTGTTTTCACATCAAAGCACTCTTCTAACAATGCGGAGAATGTTCTCTGCGTGTTATCTTGAATTACTATCCTTTTAGGAACGACCTCAAGTTATTTTATCCTTAATATCTGGTTTGCTTCGGCTTTCAAGTATTTGATTGTTGGAGTGATTAATTTAATGATTAAATATCTGATATCTGCTTCAACAGTCCAACCTTTTAAAATTTTATAGCATTTAGGGAGAAGCAATATACCAATAAAGTTCAAAGTAAGTAACATAATTATAGAAAAAATCTCAGTGACAAAAGAAGTTAGTAGTAAGGAGCAATTTCTCGCTTGGTATTGGAACTTATTGATAATTATTTTCTTTTGTTGGGATTTCATTGTGATTTTCCATAGTATTTAAGACTGTATACTTCAGGGCTGAACTTTAAGATGTCAGTTGCATCTTAATATCTTAACAATATTTTGATACTTACATTGTTTTGTATTTTCAAATGGATATCGTAAGCAAAATCTGATATTCCCTTAGAAGTTAACCTGTTTCATTTTCATTTTCAATCGTTTATGCTCACATGTTGCCATTGGCAGCTTGGTGATTTCAGAGTAATTGGATGATGATGAACAGCATTGCGGATTCTTTCAACGGAGATTTGAACAGTCTGTTCAATCTTCCTGAAGCAATTGAAAAATTCATGTTTCAACCTCGAGCTCACGACTCTCAAGAAAACAGAGGCGTCTCTAACATCCCAGTAGATATTATGGAAACTGCCAAAGAATACGTATTTTATATGGACATCCCTGGTCTCTCCAAAACTGACATTCAGGTAACTACCTACCTAGCTGTCTATCTCAGTCAAACTTTTGCATAATATTAGGTATCACCTTAAGCAGTACAATGTATTTACAAGCTTTAGTGGTGAAGCTGTTAATTTTATCTGAAAATAAAAAGAAATTTAGCCATATAGAAGGAATAATTAATAAGATTTTTTAGGGGCAATTTTGAAAACTGCACTTACGTGACTTATAACAAGTAACGTTTGTGTCTCAACTTCTGGATACTACATTTGATTTATGGTCTACCTACTTTTTTGAACTGTATAGCACAAGCGTTACATTATCTTAATGCATATGGATGGTTCCTAATTAGGCTTGTGGGTTGGTCAAGCTGGGGTTTGCCTCCCTCCCCGCGCACACCCCCAAAAAAAAAAAAAAAAGTTGTTCTTCTTCGTTTTGTAAGTGACTTGAGTCAATGACTCACTTCCTTGTTCCCAGCAGATAGGGACATTGTTTCTTGGTTTCCTTTTTTCCTTGCTTTCTTTCTTGGGGCGGAGGGTGTTCAAAGGCCCTGTTGATGTTGAGTATAGAGCTAAGTACTTGCAGAGCTCAGAAAGGGGCAAGAAGAGGAGTTGATTATTATAGATTCGTTTTCTCTTTGAACGCCTCCCCCCCCCCCCCCCAAAAAAAAAAATTGCGTCCTTTTCTCTCGGTAATAAAAAGAATCGATCTTACCCGTTGATGCTTGTGCTTTCTTGTGGCCAATAAGATATAGGAGCTGGGATTAAACGACCATCAGTTTTTTATCATGCTTATAGACGTAATAGTTATGTAGTTATTCTGTTATGGCCTACCGGTAATTAATAATTTAATATATGTAGGTCGACTTCATCAAGCATTTAAGCTCTATTGGAGCAAAAATCTTTTCTAGGTTTCAATTTGATTGTTGCTGTATGCAGATACGTTAGTATGTAAAAGATAACATTTGTATCATCTAACATGTTGACTCATCTTCGTGGGTTTTAAAAAGATGTTTGGAGTCAAATGATGGAACATAACACCTGCCAAGGACAGGGGTACGTAAAGGTAGGAGAACCAAAAAGTATAGACATGGAAGGGCTTATATTGTGGAGAGGAATTAATGAGTGTAATCTTTGCAGGTGACTGTGGAAGATGAGAAGACACTGGTGGTTCGGAGCAATGGGAAGAGAAAACGCGAAGATGGGGAAGAAGAGGGGTGCAAATACCTGAGACTGGAGAGGAGGGCGCCGCAGAAGCTGCAGAGGAAGTTCCGGTTGCCGGAGAATGCCAACGTGGCATCCATCAATGCAAAATGCGAGAATGGTGTTCTAACTGTGACTGTTGAGAAGCACCCTCCACCTCAGAAATCCAAAACAGTTCAAGTTGACCATTGCCTGAGGCCAAATTCTTTTGGATTTCTGTAACTGTTTAGGCCTGTCTTTTGTTTAGTCTGGTTTGGGTGGGTACCACGGATTTTGTTGAAAACTATGTTGCCAATGTCTATTTATGCCTGTAGTTTCTGTTAGGAAATTTGTAGTTTTCTTCCTCGTTATTGTGATCCTAATGCTTCCATGAAGCAAGACATCTTTTGTTATCATGGATAGCAAATGAATCTGGATCACCGAAGTTGTAAAATTATGGTCTTTTTCTGAAACGAACGAGCGATTATGCATGTGCCGTATGCTATGTTTCTTGAGTAGAAATTCAAGCGTCCGTGCCAAGTTCAGTATGATAATTGCGGGTAGCGCGTATTTGACTTCTGTTTGGGGAATCCTTTATGACTTTCACTGCAATACAATAATGTTACCTTCGGTGCTTAATCAGACCTAATATGTATTTTTTAAAGATAATCTTTCTGGTAATTCTAACTAAGATGGTTATCGGTTTAACAACGCATGGTTATCCGTTTAAGGACGTAATGTGTCTCTGTTTTTTCAGGGTAAGAAGGGGTAGAGAAAATGTTTCGAGCTAATGTTCGAGTATCAGGAGTTATGGCGCTGAAGTAAACCATGCCATACTTAATATATATTTATTATAAATAATTAACTTCGATTTATTTTCTTAATCTTCTTAAATAAATTAACTCTATAATTAGGATCGGGGAAGAGGAGGAATTTAGGATCTGTAGCAAAATGTCTTTAGTGGGGAATCCAAGAAATTTTGAAGCACCAACTGTTTTTAGATAGTAGTAAAGGAGAGTAGTAGGGCTGGTAGAGGAGAGTAAGTGAGTAACAAGAGAAATAAATTAGTTATTTGTAATAAATAAGTATTATTTTTTAAATTATTTTTATTATTAAGTATTAAATATCTATAATTATTATAAAAATTAGTTTGAAAAAATAAATTAATATAAGAGATAAAATGAATTGAATTCTTATATTTAGAATTAAATGTTTTGACCTTAATTATGAGATTTTTTTGTAGATTACAGACAAATATTAAGGATTGAAAGGAGATCGGTGGAAGATTTGATTTATTTTCCTTGGTCATTTAAAAAAGTACCGTTGTGAAAAAAGCCAAAGTTGATTGGAAATTTTTAGAATTGGCTGAGAACAAAAATCCAATATAGGCTATTTTAATAATGATCCTCACTGGGAGTACATACTGCAAAGAAATCAAATATTCGTGAAAATTTTAAGGATTCAACTGGGGATAAAAGAAATCAGGTTGGTATCTTGGTAGCCACTCTCTTACACAGGTTAAAGTGAACATCAGAGACAGGCTAAATTGGTGTTTAAAAAAAAATTTCTTAAAAAACTAGTTGGGGAAAAATATTGGATAAATTCTTATTTCCCATCAATATCTTGACCTTTCTTTAAAATATCTATAATATGGCTTTAGCGCAATTAAAAGTTCAAAAAATTTCACTAAGTCACCAAATTTTGTTTCTCTCGATAACAAGTCAACAAGAATGCATTACACAACCGATTAACCCCGCCGGAGACGAAGGGATTATTCTTGTTACTTGCGGGTGCAAAATCACAAGCAATTAGTTTGCACGCTCACTAACAGCAAAATGGGTTTCTTCCATTCATTTGACTAAAATAGCAGAAAAAAGAATGGAAGAAGTTACAGGGTATGGAGTTTTAATACAGGGTAACACGCTATCTAATTTAAGAATACAAATCATGCTGAACTATATGAAACTGTCGCCACTGTGAACACCAAGCTACTACCTTTTCTTTTTCTTAGACTTGCGCTTCTTCTTGGAAGACGGTTCTTCAGTCTCGTTATCATCCTCTTTCTTTGACTTGCGCTTCTTCTGGGAAGATGGTTCTTCATTTTGGTTATCATCCTCCATTAGATGCTCATAAGCTTCATAGCTTGCAAAAGGAGATGCTGTACTTTTCTTGTTCCGTTTCGTTTTCTCTTGTCAACTACATCCTCCTCGTCAACATCAGAATCATCATCAACATCTCCAACGTCTATATCATTGTCATCCTCACTGCCATTACTGCCTTCAATTGGGGTGTCAGAGAATTCCTCTGCCACGTCTGAGAGAGCTTCCATCTCACCATCACTAACATCACCAATCAAGTCCTCATCGTCGTCATTGGCAATTTTATCCAAATCATCATAGTCATACTCACCATCCGCATCCAAAGATTGATCGGCATTATCCAAAAGATTCTCAATCTCTTCGTTATCACTCTCATCACCCCCATCTACGTCACCACCATCAACATCAAACAACTCCTCAGCAGCCTCCTCATCAGCCGTCTTCTTTTTCTTTTTCTTTGGTTTCTTGGAAGAATTCATTTTGTTTGTGTAGAACTTGTGGAAGACAAGATCCTCGGGCGGTACATCTACTTCAGCTAGTGACAGAATTTCTGGACCAATCAAATGGTCGTTAATGCTCATCTGCAAAATCAAAATCATGTCAATCAGGTGCAAAGGTAGGACCATTACGCCTTAAACTCCAGAAATAGCTGACATCAGAATCTAAAAAGTTGATTATCCTTGTACCTGTTTGGCAGGTTCAATTTGAGAACCACCATGCCATGTACTCTGTTTTGGTTTCTTCTCCATGAATTTGTCTAGGAAAGCTGTCAGTGATAGGTCATTTAGTGGGTTTCCATTATACACAATGTTGGCTCCGGAAAGAAGAGTTCTGGCCATAGTAGCTACTGATGGGTGTGAATGTGAAGCAAGAACCATCAACTCCCACCAACTAACACGGTCTGCGTTGCTGTGAGATGGAAGGAAATATGTACACAGTGACGAAGACAGAAAGTGAAACACAAGGATATATAAATAGCAAAATATGAAATTGTACCTAATATATCATTCCAATTGCACCCTCTGGTGCGCCTGGTATTTTTTGGTTTTTTTTTTTTTTTTTGGGTTTGGGGGGGTGTTGTTGTCCAGTGTCAGGAGGTTTTCTCTCTTTCTTGTTACTGAGCTTAGGCATGTCAATTTACGGAAGAAGAACGCAATACCTGGTCGTTCTCTACTAATTCATTCTTCCCCACCTATTCTATAGAGAGATGATGAATGGAGATTGATCATAACCAAAAAAATAAATTACCAATAAGAAGGCTCTCGGTGTCGTGGATTGTAACCTCCAGGCAACAAAGACTTATTGTCGGATAACTGTGATTGGTGGTCTTCATCATCAGATGCATATTTCAAATTCTCAGGAACCTTTTCATTCCTTGCTAGCAAAAAATCAGCATCCTCTGAAGCATCATCCGAATCATCTTCAGAATCAGAAGATTTTGGAAGGTCATCTTCCTTTTCTGAAGATTCATCCTCAGAATTGTGATCATCTCCCTTCTGAACAGGTCCAACATCATCTTGCTTATCTGCTGCAGTGCTGGGTTCAGCATCCGTTTCTTCCTTAACATCCTCAAAGTGTTCAAGCTCCTCATCGATAGACTCGTTCTGCAACATGAGGTTCCTGTATAACAATCGAAGATGAGTAGATGCCTAATTTGACAGTAAATTTGTCAGCGCTTGACTTGCAATGCAAAGAAAAGAATCTATAGTTTTAAGGACATTCTAATCTAAAATAATAAGCAGTAGTTATGGCATAGACTAAGACCTTCAATAATTAACCTTACCATAAAGGTGGTCTTGCTTTAAGCAGTTCAGAAAGAAGGAAAAGACATGCACAGGCATACTGCGGCGGCTGCTGAAGCGCAACCTGCTCAAGAAATAGGTACATCATTAATGGAAACGAACTTACAGAAGAAACAGGGCAATGAAAGTTCAGTTCACTACTTGCCTGCAAAAGGCGTTTAGAAAATGCAGCTACACGCTTTAAGTTCACATCCCTCTTCATTGCTCTCAGAATAAGTCCAACAAACATTTCCACCTGAAAATCAATGTGAGAAAACACTTCCAAGAGCAGCAGAAAGTCAAAACAAAAACATTTTTGAAGAAAGGTAAACTGAAAAAACTGAATTTTGCATGCCTTTGACGTATGCATGGCAGCAGGAAGCAAGAGTTTGGAGTACAAAGCTCGGTAAAATCGATCACTGGCTATCTGATTCTTAGATGATATTTTATCAAGAAGCATCAGTGCCTGAAGTCCTACATTAAAATTTTTTGAATGGACCTGCAGGTTTGGAGTTTTCACAAACGTCAAAGAACAAAAATCAAGTAATAAAAGTTGCTTGTGCAACTTCAGTCAGTGAGCTATTGAATACCACTTGTCTATGTTGACATCAAACAAACCAATTACCAACTGAAAGAGTACTGGTGTTTGAACATCAATAATATCATCAGCTTCATCACTAGAGACAAAGGGGAATGCTCTATTTACTCCCTGTAAAGTGAGACCAATGTTTACGTAAACCCAGATTACATGTATTTTTCCAAAGCCAAAATGTCACAACTGTTAATTCGTTAGTATAAGCACATTGATACTTACAGTTAAGAGAGCTGATAGAAGTCGTGAATCCAATTCAGTGTGTGATTCAGGTGCATCTTTTGACTTTTCACCTTTAAAATTAGCCTTCTTGCTTTTATCAATCTTCTGATTGCTGGTTGCTCCAGAAATCAAGACCTGAACACCATAAACTGTGAATACTACTTTTCTTTATATAAAACTTTCTTAATTCACACAGAACAACCGCAAAATCACAAGATAATGCAATACCTTAAATAGAGCAAAATAGACATCTATTAAACGTTTTGCCACTCTTGGCCCATCTCCTTTACGTGTGAGACGGATTTGGCTCAAGAAGTTAACCTGAACATGTACAGGAGGAAAATCAGCTATATTTTTTCAGTCAAAGCATGTCATGTGTACAAAAATCAATGCTCAGAAAAGGGTTGCAGAGTCATGAAAATTATAGTTCCACTTCTGCAGGCATAGAAGAGCAATTTTAAAAAGACCATTGTATATACTCTTCCAAAAGAAACTATTATTCTACAACAAAATTAACATTCAAAGAAACTTCAAAAAAATGATGTCCGAGTATTTGCTGGCTATGAGCAGTGTGCAAGAAGAGAGCCCTAAGCACAATCAACATGAAAATTAGTATTTAAGAGATTCTGCATTTGTGTTTTATCTGATACAGATCTGAATAGTACTAACATAAATGCTAACGTATAAACTAGCAAAAACATGCCAGAACTAGAGCAAATAATGGGGATTGTAATCTTCATTCTGCACTGAATGATATAAGAAATGCATTAGCAATAG